ATCTAGGAGACACCCCACTGGTGTGAGTGGGGAGAATGGGCTTTTAAATGATGGCAAGGGGGAAATGTGGGGGCTGCAGGGACTGCACCCGCACACCCTCCTGACCTGGATGGACAAACCTTCCCTGACAAACATCCCGTCAGCCAAGTTTGGGAGCAGTGGTAGTCCCAAAGCCACCGGTGACCTAACCACTAGATGGGGACAAACCCACACTGGGTGAAGGAAGGTCTCCCCAGCCAGCCCCAGCTCCCCGAGACCCCCCCCGCCTCGCCCCCAGCTACAGACCACCGCAATTCAAATGGAGGAAACTCCCTGAAATAAAGTGCGCTCCCCAAAGCATCACCGGAGAACAGCGACTGCTCCCACTCCTGATGCAGCCAAAGGATCTGCAGGCAACCTCAAGTTTTGTCTCTCTTGCCCCTAGAGAGCCCAGGAAGCCACTGGGCCACACTGACCAGACACCTGGCCCCAGACTGTCACCACCTGAATGGCCAACGACACCCTCGGGCCCCCGGCACGGGGTCTCTGTCGATCTCACCGCGGACACCCAGCCCTGCAGCCTGGTTTGGCCCAGCGCGGAGGATGCACAGGGTGGCTCCTCTGTCACGTTGCCAAGGTCAAGCACATCAGATGGCACTCCGAGGTGACGTCTGGTCGGACAGGATGGTGGCAGAGGGGCTCCAGACTGCAACGCTCCCATTTGGACAGCAATCGGGGAAGTATCGGGCATCTCGGGAACACCACGCGGCTGGCAGACGCATGGGGCGGGAAACCTCACACACAGCTCGGTGCTTCACGCTGCGGTTCAGTCTCATCCTACCCACGGGCAGGAGTGTGCGTGACTACTGCTGACGTCCCACCAAGGGGGGACCTTCCTGGCACCGCTCCCAGGCCACCCTGATCTTCCTCACCCATCCCTGTTAGAAGCAGCCTCCCCTGTTCCTCACCAAGTCCTCTCTTGTGTCCCACTGCCCTGCAGCAAATGGGGGGACCATGCACGCTCTCCCCACAGCCATGGAGAGGGCGTGGAGTGCCCCGAGACCGTTCACTCCTCCCAAGGGTGCTCATCAGCACTTCTACATCCCCTGGGCTTCAGCAAGCTGACATGTTCGCTGCTTCTCTTAGACATGAGCACCTGGAGAAACAAACTGTCTTGGGAAAGCAGATTCCAGCTGGCAGATTTACCAGGGACAGGGAAAAGGAGAGGACGAGGCACAGGGAACGTTTCAGGCAGATGCGATCCACAGGAGGAGCAGACCAGGCAGCTGAGGACAGTAGCACGTGTTTGCAGAGGAGCGAGGAGATGTCTTTGATCATGGGGAGATCCAGCACAACATGGAGCCAGGTACGTGGGCAATGCCAGATGAGGGGCTTTGAGATGAGGTCCTGGAGACAGGTTCCACGCTTCTGGGAGAGGCCCTTCCTGTTTCTGCAAGGTTTGGTGCTCCAACACCTCCAGGCAGAGCCTGAACATAACCTGTCTGTGCCAGGGCTTGGCAGCACCGCGGCAAGAGAATGGTTCAAACGTGGGCTCAGCTCCCCACAAGTCAGTTGAGAGCAGCTCTGACAGCTCTAAAGCCTCCTGGACCATCCTGCTCCTCTGAAGTCTCAACGAGGGAAGCCAGCACAGCCCAAGAAGTGATGTCAGAAGTGATGGACAGAAGCAGCCAAAAGACAACAGGATCTCCCAGAAGTTCCCGCTTTGCCAATGATCTTTCCCACAACCTCGGTTCAGATCATGCACAGAGGCAACACCAAACACATGGAGATTTTTCAGCAAGACATCAGTGCTACAAGGCGACATGATCACAATCTCATTTCACAAAGGCAGACATTCTCCCGAGGCAGTGCTAGAAGCCTTTTGGATTTCAGCGGGCCCTCTCATTCAAGCCACCGGAGAGCAGCTCTCAGTCACCAGCTCAGGAGGCAGTGACGTGGTGTCACCAGGAGCTTTCCAAGAGAGACAGGCAAAGCTCGCAAAGTTAAGGAGGGGCAGAGGTGGCAACGCGCTCTTCCTATTCAAGACGCAGCCTTGTTTACGGAGTCTCAGCAGACGGACAATCCCTCCTGCCATGGAGCTGGAAGCACATCTTTGTCACATCCAAAGTGTCACATCTCACCCTGTGATGCTCCAGGTTCAACTCATGACAGGATACAGAAGCGTATTTCTTCACGTAACCCAACATACGGACGTCCTGAAGTCACGATCACCACACGAGAGGCTGTGGGAAACAGTAGCGTTCCGCTGGTCTGTGCCTGGGGACGCTGGTTAGCAGAGGGTGGTAGGAAGCGTGGTAGGACGCTTGGTCTGACAGGCAGATCAAGGTGTGTGTCTGGGCTCTATGATGAGAAAATGCCACGTTCTGATCCTGGGAAGCAGACAGACCAAATAAACACGCAGGCTGCAGCCACAAAAGCCTTCCACAACGCAGCGTCTGCCTAACAGCTATGTAGTGATGGCAGCAAAGTTGGCGAGTGCTGAAAATACATCGATTCTGTGCTTCTCTAGAGCGGGTCTTTCCCAACAGTCCTGTTGGCCAGGTCCTAAGTCCATTAACGACCTCACCTGGTGACTTAAGGTTAAGCGTACCTGCTGCAGACTGATGGTCCCAGAGTCAGGCTAAGACGCTGCAGAGGACGAACTGCTTTCCATTTAGCTTAAGTCAATAAAAATGGATTAGGCTGTAGTTCTCCACTAGTACATAAAGAGAAACAGCAGATGAACAGAAGGGATCCAGGTCTGGGGTGCAGCACAAGGGATTCCACACGGATCACACCTCCCGAGAGCCGCGAGGCAAGGCAGGAGCATCAGAACAAGACCAGAGAAGGGAAAGGCTGCGCTTACACAGAGCCCCGGTAGGACTGCAGTCTGGGAGAATCAGCTACAGTTGTGCAAGAACACAAAAACTATTAGAGGAGGGAGTTACACCAAAGCTTACAAAGGAAGCATGACTGACACGGGATCTGTATCCCACATCATGAGTTACAGATGCACGGACGGTCACTTCACATCTCTAGCTTCGCAACAACTTGACCTGCCTTTAAAAAAAACCATTCCCCATACAAGCTGTTGATATTGAAAATTAGACCTTCACTCATCAGGCTTTTCAGCGACCAGCCCAGTTAAAAGGTTTAGCTAGAAATGTCTTACCCCTTCTCAGCTTTTATAAGCCAACCTGTATTTGCCAGTTCGATCACCTCTAAGGAAAATGTAAGTTTTGAAAGTAGAGGTTTGCTGCAGTTTGACAAACTTGTCCTGTTTTCTCCAGCCACTGCAGTCTGATGACTAAGGATCTTCATGCCTTGAGGATGTAGCCCTGTAGCACAGGCTTTGCTTGGGAGGCTGCTAGTCCTGAGAGACAGGGTCCTGCAGCTCAGGATACTTCCCAGCCTCAGAGGACAGCCAGTTTCAAGGCAGAAGTCCTTCAGGGAAGCTGTTGGCTCTGACCAGACCGCAGGGACTTTCACCCACAGCTCATCTGTGAGGTAAAACCGGACACAGGGGCTGGTGGGTGGCATCAAAACCACAGGCACACGTCCATTAACTCCAGAACACAACGAGTCCTTGGAACAGGTCTCGAAACCCAGCTGAACACTGACAACACTGAATGCTCTGCCTTCAAAACACCCAACACCAGGCTCCCTTCTCAGCTCAAGGGTGAAATGCTGCGCTCGCAGCTCAGTGTGAGTTTCTCCAAAGCATCGTATGGTCCGTGGTAGGGCCGAGTTCACCCCACCGTGGTGGTTCGGAAACACAGGCGCCGCGTACTCAAAGGCCATGGCACACACGGTGCACTTGAAAAAGCCACAGGAAACCAGAAGCGCAACCTCCCAAAAACACCCACTCCCATTCCTTCAGCCAAGCACCACCAGAGCTCAGCCTGCAAACAACAGCCCACCCTGGGACCCCAGAGCTGCACCCTCTGCTCCAAATATAGAAGACCGTTGGATTTACCAAATGCCCCACGAAGATCAGGAGACGGCGCTTGGAAAAGAAACACAATGGCAAAGACGAGGATACACCCATGGCTGTGTCTGGATGTCAGCTTCAGTACAGGCAAGCAGCTGAACAGAACACCATCAGCAAGGAAGGGAGCAGAAGGTAACTCTGGTTTTAGGGACCAAAACGGACTTCTGGGGGAATAGCGTGGGGCTCACATTCTCACTTCAGAGTTGAAACAGCTAATACACCAAAGCTCACGGAGTCAGCACAACAGGTCTGGCAGTTACAGCTCAGAGTGTAAAGCAGGGCAGGGGAAAAGGGGGAAAAAAAAAAAAAAGAAAAAAGAAAAAAACCCCACAACTCTTCTAACCTAAGGTGACATCCTGGGCAAACAACTCAAAGAAACAAGGCCAAATCCACCTGGGGTAAGGCAAGGGCTCCAACTGTCACAGCGTCCAGCAGCCCAAGGAGTCCACAGCCAGAACTGGAAACGAACTGCACCACAAACGAGCACTCTTGCGCTGACACCCGTATGGGACCCAGACAGGGCCCAGAGGGTCCCCAGAGGGGTCTCAGCCATGCTGGCTGGGAGTAGTTACCGCTCCTGCTAGCCCGAACCCAAAATCCAAGCCAGGGCTGTCCCTCAGCATCAGCTGGCTAACATCAGCCTCATGTAGAGGAAGAGGAGGACACGAAGCCTGCAGACACATCACGCCCTTACCCCAGGACGGGGATAAGGTCAGAGTCAAGCACAGTTTCCCCATAGGGAAATGCCTTTCCACCTCCGATGCCGCAAGAAAGCAGGTGTGCCCTAGCAGCCCTGAGGAACGGCAGCACTTGCGGTTCCCTCATGCCTACATACCTTGACGTCAGCGATGAGGGCGTCCTCATCCTCAATGCCGGTGGGAACGCACTTCTTGTGCAGAGGGAGCGACTCCAGTTTGTCCACGAGGCAGCGCAGCCCCTCCAGCTCAAACTGCGTCAGGTGCACCTTCCTGGTCTTGCGTGGGCTGCCACCATTCGGGTCCCAGGCCTGGCCGTTTTGGGAGCCCCGGCTAGAGTCGGAAGAGTCTATTGATGGGGTCTTCTTCAGTGCCGGCAAGCTGCTCCGGCAGCTCTTACCCAGTTCATCATAGTCCACATTGGCACCGTTGGCTATGGGGCTGGTGAGAACGGACCGCCTCGTGACCGGTCGCCTGGGTTCCTTCCCTGTTGCATCCTCCTCCTCTTCCTCCTCCTCTTCTTCCATGTTTACTGAGTCCGAGGAGCTCAGCTCCATATCTGCCATGATGGAGAAAGAGTGAGAGAAGAGCACAGTGGCCAATCGCTCACAGGAGGCATTCACTTTCTAGAGGAATCCCCCCAAGTTACCAGAGATGCTGTAGCAACAGATATGTACAGGGACAAAGGGAGAGGAAACGATGGGCCACATAGCAGCTAAAATCCTTTCCTGTTCCTCACTTGTTTTGTCGGAAGGCGAGGCACAGGACATGCGAAAACCTCCCAGAGGGGAACACAGCAAAGTCCCAGATTGAATTTCATAGAATCCTAGAATGGTTTGGGTTGGAAAGGACCTTTGAAGATCATCTAAGTCCAACCCCCCTGCCATGGGCAGGGGCACCTTTCACAACATCATGTTGCTCAAAGCCCCGTCCAACCTGACTTTGCTTTGGAGGGCTTGGGATCTCCAGCCATCTGGTCCCACAGGTGACTTGGGACCTTGATCCTGCCTTCATGATGGAAGAAAGAAGATGTGGACTCGCTAGATGACCGTGAGGTCTCCGAGCCTGATTTTGCACGATAAAGCACCCTTCCCTGACAGTGAAAGGGAAGGGGGCTCTCCTGCTCCCTTCCTTCAGCTCTCTGCACTAGTTCCCACTTCACACAGCTCAGTGGTAGAGAAAAGGCGATGAAGGTGCTGGAGGCCTCCAGGCAGGAGGAGGACAGACAGCCTTTCCCAAACCAAGTGCTGAGGGAGATCAAGAGGGCCACAGCAAAAGGACAAAAGCTGGGAGCCGTGTCCTTCTGCTAGGGCCCCTTGGACAGAAATGGAAAGCCCCAAAGAGGCTGTGGCTGTGAGGAGAGGTGCCCAGGAGTCAGCATTTACAGCCTCTTAGGGGAGTGAGGACAGATTTGCTTCAAGGGCCTTGGGTGGAAACCATCAAGCTCTCTCCCACCCTGAAGAAGGGTCTCTGTAAGAAATCATCTCTTGAGCCACTGCCCAGGCCCCGTTTGCCTTGGCTGTAAAGAGGCCAAACATTCCTTTTGCAAGAGACTCTTTGCACTCCCTTGTACATAACTTTGATAGCTCTTTAAACTCTGCATGCAGGAAGGCCCTGATCAGCAAGAAAGCATTACTGCCCCCGCAGCCCACAGCACAGCGCTGGCTCCTGCAACTTCCCTCCGCCTCTTCTGTTAAAGGCTTTGTGCGTACCAGCAAGGCCAGGAACTTGTGTGCTGGTATTGCAGCTGTAAGGAACCTGACCTGTTGCAGGGGTAAAGGAGGAAGCAAAAGTCTGGCTAGTTTTGATTGCTTGCTCAAAGGAAAAGAAATAAATCGCACCTCCTTTGGCCAGTCTGCAATGCCCTCTGACTGCTCAGTACAGCAAAGAGCGAAAAGGGAGGAAATACCCAAAGAAAACACCTTGTGAAATTAAGGAAGCGATGGTCCCAAATTCTTCCCACACTGCCCACCCCTGCCCACCACACTGCTGAGCCAGACAGTATCCCGGCAGGAGGTGCAAGAAACTGCTTCGATACGGGTGAGGAAGGAATAAGGGCTGGACAGCCAACGCAGGGAGCTTACCCATACTGAGCGATTCCTTCTGGAAGTCCTTGGTCAGATGTGAGCGGCTGGTGATGCAGTAGACATAGCGCTCCAGCACGTACCAACACATCTCGTAGTAGAAGGGATAACGAAACTTATTTGGGACCTGCAAAAGAAGCAAGGGGAAGGGGATCTGCTCAGTCCTTCTCCATCACCGAGCTGCACAGAGATGGCTCTTATTTCTGCTGCCTAAAACCAGACTGATCTCCTCCTGAGAGACAGGAAACACATGTACATGTGTAACAGCATCACTCATGCTTCTGGCAGCCTGATGTAATTCTCCTTGCAGAAGGATGTTATCACCGGGCAGAGCAGAGACCAGGCACTACTTCACTTGCGAGCCATTAACATTTCATTTTTCTTTGTTACGGTTGCAGCTCTTCCCCCTCAGACCTCCTTCTCATTAGTACAAGAAAAAGTGGCAGATGGCACAAGAGGTTTCAGCTGAAGGTAACGGTTCAAGCCCTCTTCCCAAGCCCCAGCACAGCATCTGACAGTATTTGTACGGGGGGAGGGAAAGGGTTGTTCTATTAGGAGAGGCGTTACCAGCCCAGCTATTTAGCAGAGTGCTATCACGGCTCTGTCACATCAGCACCAGCAATTTCTACGCAGGCAGAAGATGCCCCTGACGCTGCTCCTTGCCTCGCACCTTCCTGAGGCCACGCTGCCCAGGGCGGAGCAGGCACATACTCCATCGTCCTATGTTTCAGCTGCTCTGACATCTGAGTGCTAACCCACAGGTCCTGCCTGCTGCAGCACCCTGAACTGCTCTGGAGAGGCATGGCCTGAAGCCTCTCTGCAGGAGCTGAGCACCGCAGGACCCATGTTTCCAGAAGGAGCAAGGAAGAACACCCACTTGCCAAGAGCATTGTCTGCTCAAGACCTCAGGAAGCCTTTAGTTTCAGTCATCTTAGACCACATCAAGGTCTGAGATCCACACCGAGCAGCAGCAGAAGGCAGCCAGGTAAGGGAAGAGAACACGTCCATGGGAGTGCATCCAGCATGTTGCCGCCTTCCTCTTCAGGCAGCCAGGGGAGGTCCCCATCACACTCACAGCAAGGTTTCCAGACCCCTCGGAAGCCTGGTGTCAGACCGGAGGCAGTATGAAGGAACATAACAAGCCTTAGTGCACACTGCAGGCTGACCCTCTGCCCAAGTTCCTGCCTGTACATTCAGCAGGTGAGGACATCTCATTTACAGACAGCTGGAGTTTGAGCAATCTGTGACAGGGTGAGACTCAACTCGCCCGCCCGCACACCACCCCTCTTGGCTGCACCCTCTCCACCATCCCAGGAGGCCACGTCCTCCCAGCTCTCCTGCAGGTCCTTACCCGCGTGCGGTCTTCGATGCTGTAGATCCGGAGCTGCATAGGGATATTGAAGCTGTGTAAGAAGTTGCCTCCAAAAACCAGCGTGTCCATGGGAGTATACACAGCATGGATCCAACCTTGGAGAGAAAGCAGAGTTTGAAGAATCCTCCTGAGTAACTAGGTGAGGTCTCACAGCTGACAGTCCCTACTAGTTAAATTCCTTTGCAAACTCTTACAAACTGTGCTCTTCAGAGCAGGGCTGTCAAATCTGCACAACCTTTGTGCTGCTCAGCTAAGTCCACCTTGGCAGTTGCACCCTTAACCTGCGTCCAGGTTAGCTGCAAACACACAGACTGGCTATGGACCCCTCGTCACGTCAGCCAGCCCTAGGAGCAGCGGGGGGCTGTGAGGGGACCATACAGACCCCAGCTCTTTGAGGAGGGCAGATGTTGCTGCCTTACAGCAACTACATCTACCCCTCCTGAAGTGTGCTCACTACTGAATTACTCAATGCCCAGCTCACTTGACCCATGTAACAGCTAGAGACAGACTTGTACTTGGGCACTTAAATACACCTGTGGATCTGGCCTCACATCCTCCCATGGTGACACACGTGCCAGTATCCACCTCCTGTCCATAGCTTTTTGTCATCCTGGTGTCTCTGGAAAGTTGCTTCCCAATTACATCAGGTCTAGGAACACCAGCAACAAGGGAAACAGTCTTCCAAAGTCTGTTCAACAATTAAAACACCCTCAAAGTAACTCAAGTTCCAGCTCTGTTATCTCCAAGGCTAAGCAATCCAGCCAAGCCCAACATTTTGGGAATTCCAGCATGGGTTTTCTTAAGGCAAGGCCACTCAATTCAAAAGTAGTGTCAGTTGTGATAACAGGACTCAAATGAGCAACTTGTGCAATCCCTGGTGTTTTCTGTTCCCGGTCCCGCTGTAAGCTACAACACAGCTTATTCCTGCACTGCTCTTGGAGATGAAACGGCAGGTTACAGCAGCCCTTGACATCTGAGACAGTCTTGTGGACACAATTTTTATGCAACGGTTTTATTATAAGCCTTCAAAGGAGTTCAACAATCTTTCTTCTTACAAGGGAGTATTCCCTAGTGCAAGCACAACACTTTGCAGACACCCCAGGTCTCCATCACAGGTCCTAAACGGCTGTGAGTCAGTCCGTGCAAACAACCAACTTGAGCTGCTTTTTCATCTGCCTCATCCCTTCTGCCTTTGCAGTTTTCTACGACAGCACTGTGCTAACTGTGCATGCAAGACTTTGCTGATGTCCTCCAATTATTCTGATTGCTTAACCAAGTCAGGTTAAAGATTTCTCTTAGCTCTCGAGACTGTTCCCACTCCCAACCTCAAAGCCTCTTGCTCAAGCCCTCTGTAAAGCAGTTACCTGCAAGTCTCTCCATGTTACTGCCTCCCAGCTCACTATTGGGTTTCAGTGTTTTCCAACAGCCACTTCTAGCTATGCACTTTCCACTTCTCCTATCTCCAGTACATGCAGACTGTTCGATTATCTTTCCTCAGGTCCAGAACAGTCACCTTGCTCCTTAAACTCACCCACTGGCTCCCTTCCTTGCTTCACAATTTGAACATAACCCTGCAGAGATTTTGCAAGAGACCTGGGAAGCTGAGGAGCTGCGCTGCCTTGGGTCAACCTCTGTCCTCAACGTGCACTGCTCTGCATGTCAACATGACAGTCCCTGGGAAAAGCCTCCTTCAATAATTGATTTAAGCATGATGTGAGCCAGTCACAGCTTTCCTGTCGCTTGGGCTGAGTCCAGTGCCATGACGAGCATGTTTTGGGAGCTGGCAAGCAAGAGGATGGAGCCACATCACATCTCCCTCTCCCAGTTATTCATGAGGGACAAAGCTAAACCCTGCCTGTTCCGATTTTGCTTGGTGTCCCAGGAGTTTCAGAGTCTCGCCACAACCCTGGCAAAGGCCAGGATGCGCCTGCCCACCCTGCAGTACCTGAGGGGATGACAAATGTGTAGCCCTGCTTGAGCTCGATGCGCTGGCACTCTGACACTCTGTCCCCAAGAAAAATGTCTCCTTGCTTCCCTGAGAGAAGCCAGTTTTCATAGAGCTCCAGGTTCTGGGGTGTAGGAGGGATCAACCAGAATATCTGCAAATGAAGACAAACACATGTACCTAAGTCATTGCATAATTAACAGCTACTGACGAGCCCCTGCTTCTTCCAAACCTGCCCTGCTCCCTCTCCCGATATCTAAATCTCTTCCTCTCCCCACCCACAGAGGACACAAATCTACAAAAATTCCCAGTCAAGTGACCTAAACAGCTGTCCCATTTGAGAGGGCAAGCCGCTGAGCAAGGTCTTTCCCGACCTGATGCACTAAGCACCACAGGCAGACGGAGCCTGGGATGCTTTGTAAGGTATTATCTACATCAGTATCAAGAGATACAGAGCCCACCAAAGACACCAGAGTACAGGAGACAAAGGAGTATTTACCTGCATGTTACTAAGAGCTACAAGTGACCTAGAACTAGAGATTTGCACCTGTCTGGCCCCAGGCAACAGAGGTGGCAAGTGTAGATATATCCATCCCCAACTAGGCTCTTCAGAGTGTTAGCTCGTCCTTTGGGGGAAGGCACTGGAGCCACAAACTATCAGAATCGCTGGGGAAGCCTGGCAGCTACATCTTCTTTGCAAGGAAAGGTAGGTGAAAAGCCCAGATTCTTCAGGTGGGGCAGAGTTTGCTGTGTTCCCTGAACCTGGTCTAAGTCAGTGGAGAAAGATGGGATGGAATCATCACCCAGGACTTGTCCTAAAGAAGTGACAGGAGTTTTTTTTTTCCCCCACAGATCTGCCTTCACTGACTGTGGAGGGAGCCCATTCAGCCACCTTCGGCTGGACAGTTCCTTCGGAGCAGTTACAAGCGAAAGGGCTCCCTATCCTAAGGCTGTCCAAGGTGCTCGCAGGAGATGTCCAGCCACCACAGGCAGCCTTTTTTACCCCCAGTTCCTTGACGAATTCAGCCCTAGACGGCTGATGGTTTTTATTAGAAGCAGCGAGATCTCTTCTCATTGCTTACAAGGGTTAAGTTAGGAGAAAGGTGCATTTCACTGGGCAAGAGGTGGGACTTGCCTTTGGTAAATTCTGCACTACAGAATACTTTGGAATACTAGCTAGCCCCTTCACTGATACAGCTCCCAAACTACTATAAATCTGTTTTCTGAAAGTTAAGAGAACAAATACAACATCCCCAGCTGTAAGGGGAGCTTAAAGTGCAATTCACCCTGCCTAAGGGCAAGCGGGAGGACTGGCACCTGCCCAGATCCCCTCCCAGACACATTTCTTCCAAGCCAAGCCCCAGCACAACACACAGCTGGGGTGAGGGATGTCTGGCACAGGGAAATCCCTGCATAATTATAACTGGAAGCCACCCACCAGGGAACAAACATTGCACTCAGATGAAATTTGTAACCAAACTCAAACTTGGTGGAGCCCAGGGTTCAGTTTTCGTATCTTGGGCTGAGCTCAGCTACAGGAAGCGACTCCAGACAAGCAGTTCAAACCTGACACTGTTTCAGAGCTACTTCTCCCCAGAAACCATTCAAGGGTTTTGCAGTGAAGACTTGTCACTAACCTTCAGTTCAAATGCTTCTGCTCTCGAGGTCACTTGACATTTTAAGGTGACCCCCCACGCATCTGTCAGCTATTTAAAATCCCTGGACAGCTTAGCTTTAGGAGAGGCTCCCGTTCATCTTTACCTTTCTTCCATTTGCTGCTGCTCCCAGTGTTCTATCTGTACCACACCAAGAGGTGATCAGCCATGTAGCCAAATGATCTCTCAGAAGCCCAAGACACTAGATGAATTGTGTTATTCTACTCTATGTCATTTAGCCTTCTCTAAGATTGTCTCAGCATCATCTCTACAGCATGGGTTTTCAGCCTGGCGGACCTCTGAGGGCCTGAACTACTTCCAAGAGCCACAGAGAAACAAGTTTAGAGTGGAAAGACTTCAATTTGTTGTCTGGGACCTGCATCTTCAAGGATCGACCAGAGAACAGACTAAAAGCTGCTCTCCTAAAGCATCTGTAACTTTCCCAACGGGGACTGTCCTCCTACCTTTCCCCCTCGGTGGATGTGGTACCACACAGAAGTACCACCGAAGTCCACGTGGAAATCTGTGTAGCAGCCCTTGACGCTCATCAGACAGTATCTGGCGGAAAACAAAACGACAACAAGGTGAAAACCAGTGGTGATCCACATTTGAGAGCAGATACAACGTATTCAAAGGGAATAGGTTCCCTCAACCCAGGCCAATAGCTCAGAGCAGTGCCAGAAGCCAATTACTGCAGTGCTAAGCACTTTAACTGCAGGGAGGGGGTGGTTTGCAGGAGAGCTCACTTTGCATTTGTATCACATCCCCACAAAAAGAGCTAGTCCAGGCAAGAGGAGAGCTTTCACCCTCACACACCCAGCAGCTCCAGAAACCCCCATGGCACAGGGCAGGATGGGCAATGCCTAGCAGCTCAACTGACTCCAGATGTCTCAAGGTGGTGAGCACCAAGAGTTTTCCTGAAGAGCAGCGAGCTCCTAGCAGCCACGCGACGACCCTTCCACGCAGCTTTCGGCAGGGCCTCAAATAACTAACTGCAGTGCCCTTACAAGTGTCACCCACTGAAATCAACAGGGAGATTGCTTCTCCTGCTTCCCCTTGGTACAAACTGCTTCTCCCTTGGGCAGTTTTCTTGCAAGAGATGCTTTGCTGCCTGCCACCACCGGAACAGCTCAGGAAGTCACTTACTTCTGCACCTTTGGATACTGCATCTCCAGGATCGCATTCGTAGACTCTGTCTGACTCTCCTTCAGGTGTCTGGGCCACATGTTATCAACCCAGTCAATCAAATCCACCTACAGCAGAAAGGTGGAAGATGTGAGTAGAGATGAAAGGGGCACAGTAACCCCTTTTGCTACCCCCAGGCTGTCCTGGAAGCTCAAATACCTATTGCCTGCCTGGTAAGCCCACAGCTCACACGCAGCTGAGCACCTGGGGGATGCAGGCTTGCAGTGAGCCCACCAAAACCACTGCGGTGCTGTGCAGACTGCCAGCCAGCCCAGCTCAGAGCACACCCACATTTGTTGTGTTGGGACGGGACCAAGGAAGGGAAGGAAGCCCTGGTGTTAGCCGAATGGCTGTGATACCCCCTTTTTGGCCCCCACACACCCAGCAACCTTCCTGATGCCACTGGTGTGATCCCACACGTAAAGCACTTAGGACCAGCTATTCTGGTATCAGTTGCAGTACAGCGAGCCTCTGAACTCACACGCACAGCAAACACCACAGCACGATCCCAAGCACGGTACTGGGATGCTGGTCTTCTAGTTAGGGGCTAGGCAGGAACTGCTATGCACTTGGCTTACACAAAAAACACGCTGGGCAGCATTTGCTAGGGTGGGATTCAACTCGGCAAGCTTCAGGACAGCCAGAGCAGGCAGAGATGCCCAGGCTCCCTCTGCAGTTACCAGAGAGAAGTGAATGGCCCTCCAGAGCTGCCTCTTCCTCTTCACCGACTGCAGGAGGAGTTTGGGATGTCCATCCCATCCATCCCACCTTCCACACTTCAGTAAGGACAACTCCGTTTCCCCCTGCCAGACGGCCTCCTGCCCCTCTTCCAGCACATCTCCAGCCTTGGCCTCCTAGGTCCTCAGAGATTTCGGCACTTTGCACCAGAAACCTTCCCTGCCATCCTGCACAACCCTCTGGAGTCCCAGCTGAACACAGCGCTGTTGTCCTAACAGTACCATGGTTTCCAAACACCAAGGAAATCACAAAGTTCAACCAACATCCAGGCTTTAGCTACTCTCTCAAGACGCTGCAAGCATTGCGGAGCGTCGCTGTCTGATTTAGGCCCTGCTGGAGTTCTACACCTGGCCATGCATTACGGCAAAGCACCCCTGCTCTGCTCCTCTCCCTGGCCACAATGGAGCCGATCGCTGCTGCAGGATGCAGAAGAGGGCTTCTGCACCGAGTATCAGAGCAGCGCAGTGCACAGAGGGAAGGCAGGCCTGAGACTGGGTGACAGCCAAGGTCTTGGCAGACAGTGGAATCAGCTAACTGGGAGAGGCCGGAGGCCAGCGTCCTCGTCCTGTCCCCAACACTCACTGCGGCTGAGCACAAATTTGCTTGTTCAAACTCTGTGCCTGCTCTTGATACCAGCCAGTAGGAGCAGGTTACTTCATTCTAATTATTCCTCAGCCAAGCACTTTCATTTCTCTAATTGCTGACAGCTAACAAACAAGTCCACTCTCTGCAGAATGACACGCCAGCGACTTGACTGTGGTCCCTATAGCTGAGGGATGGACAGGCTGGGCAGCCCCAGCTTGACTGTGAGATCAGCTACCGCAGATGAGATCCAACTCGACCACAGGATCAGGTCCAGCAGCATCCAGAGCACAGCAGTGACATCCCCGACTGAGCCCACGCGTGTCACGAGCAGGCCCTCTCCTCCCGCATTTGAGTGCCAGGCTGCACCTTGCCTACAGAGGACCACAAGCACGAGGGATGGGACTTTCCTACGGAAGGAAGAGCCACGCTCACCGTAGCTGGTCTCTGCACCAGGTTCTCCAGTTTGGTGTGGCTGAACTCCAGGCTGATGACATTGTAAAGTTTCTCCCGCTCAGCCTCCGGTGTTTCGTAGTAGCGTGCCCACTGTGCCATGGACATCTCAATATCCCTCTGCGTGTTCACATCCATGACATCCACCATCCGTCGGCTCCCTGCCAGAACAGACAGACATCACTGGAATCGTCCCTGTGCACGATGGACCACCCAGAAGAGACACTCCAGGAGACACGAGATCCTTCCTCAAAGAACCCACCCACACAAGTGTGACGTCTTGGCTTCTCCCATAACTTCACCTTCTTCCATATCCACATCGAAATGGAAGCTGCTTCAGGTCAAACTAGACTCAAGCAGGTAAGAGTTGTGATCCACTGGCTAAGGACAGCTCTGGTTCAACCAGCTGCAGGCTAGGGGAGCCACAAAACCAGACCTCTAGCTTTGATAAACCCCATGACTCTCCCCGTTCCTCCCTACCTGCCCAGGGCGCAACAGAGGTGCACTGGGGTCCCTGGACACTTACCGACGCACAGCCGCACATCATTCACGCTGAAGTCCGGATCGGGCATCCTGCAGGACAAACACCTTGCTAAAAAAATCATGTAGAGCTTCTGCTTGCAGACCCTTCCCACCTGTAACCCCTCTGTTGGCACCCTGAAGACACCAGTGTATTGTCACCCACTTCTTTTCGTCACCCAAAGCTTCTTTTTGCCTCTTGGGTGCGGGTGAAGAGCACACAACTAGATCTCTGGGGGCACAGGTCTGAGATGAAACATTGGGCTCAACTTCTGGCTAGGGAAGCAGATTTGGGAATAGGACAGACCATCTCCAGACCATGAGCTGCTGTACAGCGGCTTCTGGCAAACAAGCAAGCAGACCTTGAGCTAAGCAATCCTAGCTCCCATTTTAAAGACTGCTCGTACGAGTTATCCCAATACAAAGGGCATAGCCAGACCAGTACAAGCAGTATATTTCACTGACACAACATAACTACTCTAACTGTTTGTACTGGCATACTCATCTGTACAAACACTGCTGTCACAGGCAGAATGGATGGGCAGCCATTCAAGCTGCTCTTGACCCAGAGAAATAACCAAAAGGTCAGAAGAAATTCAGTTTCACCCACACTGTAATCCTCAGTATCAAATCTCTGCCCTCCCAAGTCACCCAGCAGCTAGAACTGAGCCTGGCACAATTTCTGATCTAATTCACCACATCACGCACTTGACGAGATGTTCCTCATCCGTTCACAGTCAGTTGAGGAAGTTAAGAGCAGTGCTGTCGATACTGGCTCTGATGAAGTTTGCTAGGGCTAATTTATTCCTCTTTTTTATTAACCAAAAAACACTGATCCAGCAGAAACACTAGAACAGATCAGGTTTTTTTTAATTTCATAAAATACAGCTGTAATGTTTTGATGTAGTATTACTCGCCTTGATACTACATCTAACATCCCATAGTGTATTTAAATGAACATCATAAAACGGCACAAAGTCTTGCATCAGTACAGCTTTACACTCAAAGCTGTAAACCTTAATTGACTTACTGTAGCAAGAGAGACAGATGGCAGTTTAGAAGTAACCATGTTGGATAAATCAGGCTGGAATTCTAGAAAATGCCAGAAATACTACAAATTGCTCGACTCTCTGGCAATACATGCCTATATTACTTGGAGAGAAACCCAGCCAGATGTTGCATCAGAGCAGCAGTGGGACTTTCCAGACATTTGGTTGAATTGTGCTCACCTACAGCCAACTCAATCCTCTCATTTGAAGTCCAAACAGACTAGTAAGAGCAGGATAACTGAGGTGGGAGATACTTCTCACTGCATGTAAAGAACAGCGTGCACAGGACACAGTCCTACCAACTTGGCAGAGGACAGATTGACCTACCAGGATCGGATCCCACACAATGTGGGGAGAGGTGAGAAATCAGGCCAGAGTCATCCACCACTCTGTGCCCTAACACTTACTTTATCCCCAGGCCATCAGAGCTCCGGAAGATGAGAGGGTCTCTCAGGCCACCTCGCTGGATGTATTCAACTGTGAAGTCTGGCGTGGAGACAAGAAGAGGGAAGATGTTAGGGGAGACTCCTTCGGAGGACTATAGACAAACTGAGGTTAGAAAGGATCTCTGGAGATCTCTAGTCCAACCCTGCTCCCAGCAAACTGACTTCGGACTCAGATCAGGTTGTTCAGGGTCCTGTCCAGTTGAGACCCGAGAATCTCCGCCTATCTCTGTGACAACGCTAGCCAGCAAGAGAAAGCCCTATTCCTGACTATTTCCACACCCCTTCGGAGATCTTGGAATCCTTTGCGGCAGTTCTGTGAGCAGCATGCTGTGTGCTGCTGACAAGCCTCAGACAGGCCCCCCAGGGAGGGGGAGTTTGCTCCAACAGGCTGCACCAGACAGGGGAACAGAACAGTTTTGGGTCCTCACTTCCATAAGAAGCTCATAGCCAAGGAACAGATGCCTTGAAGAAATGCTCCTCCCTCATGGTAAATCCTCACGGGGCTTGCACTGGCTGTGCGATGAAAAGACATCCCACTGAGCCATACGCGTGGTGAAAGGCAGGGGAGAGATCCCACATAGTTTTTGAATTAAGCATCTAGTAGACATGTGGCTGCAATTACAGGTGCTGACCCAGGCGAACCCTCTTGTTCCTGGCTGCCACGTGTCCCAGCAAGCCTGCAGCGCTGCAGACTGGCTCACTGCTCTCCAGATCGAGCGGCTTTCATACCATTTCCCACACACACACTCCCTGTTATCAGCTCCCCTGGCCCAAGGGCTTAGCAGGTTTGAGCCAATCCTCCATCAATATGCCTCACATTGCCTTCAAACTGCGCGGGGACTGCTGTGGGACTTGCATGGGAGCAGGGAGAAACGTCCCCCCACCTGCTCTGCATCCCTTGGGTTATGCAAGTAAAGCACAGAACTGGTGTGAACAGCAGACAGTTTTCCCAACTTTACAGAAGATTGGAAAGTAAAAGGCAGCAAAAAGCAGGACAGTGGGAAAGGATTTCATTAACACCACAATTGCCTTGTAACCGCCCTTCAAGTTGGCAGTCAGGGAGGCTTTGGGTGTAGTCAGATGCAGAAGAGTACAGCCAACTGTGATCACCATCAGCTTTCTACGAAAGGCTCGGGGAAAGGTCATCTCACACACCATGCCTCACTGGAGCAGCAGCCAGCCACAGCAGCTGTCTGGTGCCTGACAGCAGTAGCACACACTGCAGCACAGCAGTCCCAAGACAAACCTTTGCCTTCCATGAAGACCACGAAGGTGGAGTTAAACTTGTTGGTAGACAGCTTTTCCTCAAGGTCAAATGTCCTCTTCCCTTCAATTTCATCATCGGAGATGCCATCGTCCTCATAACGCCGCCTCATCGTGCCACGCTGAGGAGAGAACAGACCAGAACGGTAAGAGTTATGGACCAGGAGGAACAACCAGCTTCCCAGAGCCTCGTCTCAACCCAGCCCAGCTCAGCCAGGGCCTCTGGGAGAGCCCTTGCTCTGCCACAGCCGGGGAAACCTACACGCTTCTACTCCCAGAGAGGAGACCCTATATTACCCAGTTATATTATCCATTCTTGCTCAAAAAGCACTGTTGGTATCAGTTTTCAAGAGAGACATGCCAGAGAAGATCCATTCAGGCAACGTCTGTCCTGGATCCAAAACACACCACTGAAACATCAGATTTGCTCCTCCTACAACCAACAGATTTGTGCAAGTTGGGCTGTATGGGAGACAGATAATTCACTCCTAATGAGGGCTAACACAGAAACATGGAAGGAGGGGAGACAGTTCACTACAACCGAGGCAAAGAAAAAAGAATCAATTTCCCGTTTGTAGAGGTTTATCAGTGTTTTGCTGCGCTGGAGGTAAAGGCACTTGTGAATTTAAATCCCTGCCAGAACACCAAGTGATAAAGGAAGGGTTTTATGCTGAAGACAATTCTCAAGTTTTCATCTTTGGCTATGCTCGTACACAAAAGTTGATTTATTCCCTTGTTTATGTGTGTGGGAGTAGCGGGGTGGAAGCAACCCTTTTCTTAGAGGGTGTCATAAGTACATCTGTACTGGGATTCCTGACATACATCCTCTTCTAGCATTGCTGGATCTGGAAGAAATTACTGTCCCCAGCTGTTAGCCACCCCTCCAGAGACCGGCCATGCTCTGGCAGAACCGTTCGTGGGAATGCTCCCTAAATCCCCTCAGATAAAAGTGAACCTGGTCTGAATTAGCCAAGCTGACTTCCCCCAATTAGGGATGCTCCCATTATAAAGCATTCACACCAATCCTTGTGCCAGCAGACAGCCAGGGACGGGATGGGGCAGGAGGTGACGCAGCAGCTACTGTCACATCTGGCCCTGGAAAGTGGCACCTGCCTGCAGCACTGGTAGCAGGGTCACATCCCCACCAACACCACCAGTCCCAGTCACAGGTGGTGATGCTGAAATTCACCATCACCGGTGAGGTGACCGGCGTGCACGTCCCTGTGTCCCGGTCCCTGCGTGACCTCCTGCCACGGCACACCTCCTGCTGCCGAGTGCATTCCAAATGCTCATCTCTTCCGTCTTTTAGGGTCTCCTGGAGAAGACAAGAGTGTCCTTTCCCCAAGCGGGGCACGCATCTCGGACTCCCCTCCCTGTGGGGGCAAGGTGCAGATCTCTTCCGCAGAGTTCAGTATCTTCACTCAAAGCCACCCTCCTCTTCCTCACCCAGCCAGGGGAAGGCAGGGCTTACTCTGACCACATGAGGCCCCCCAGGAGGTACAAACCCACCGTGTGGGGATGCTGAAAGCCCCTGAGTGGCTTTCAGGGTTTATTTTGCCCAGAGCAGCCAGCCCCAAACCGGGCCTGGCCTCAGGCACGTTCCCATTAGCCCCCAGTCCATCCCACACGACAATAGCCCATCCCAACACAGCCCGGGTCTTTTCCAGTGAGATATTAGCCATCCATCAGTCTGATCGCTACATTCCTTTGTCTGTCCCTCTCTTCTTTTTGGCCCTATCTATTTAAAGAGCGCTGGTGAAAGAGAAAGGACTCCCTCATACAGATGCACTGCTTTAAAGATACTTTTAAAACTAATTAGTTCAATTAGCATGTGGGAACACTCCTTTCAAAAAAGCTGACCAATTCACAAGTAGTTTCCCTGCCATCAAGGCAGAGAAGCTCACCTCTCCCTGCTGTTAACACCTCATCAGCTTTGTTTAGCTTTCCAAACCCCCTCCCAGAAACCTGAACACAACAGGGGCACAAACACCTCCCCTGCGAGACCAGAACAAGGGGTTGCTCTCGGAAAAGAGCCCTGACTTAGGCATCAGGAAAGCCACGTTCTCCGAGGGCCTGTCCCAGTCCCGACCATTAGGCAAACTGGAAAAGGGCTGTGTGTTTGCAGGCTTTTGTCTTAAGCCAGCCCCTGAACTTGGATAGCAAGCAGGAGTACTCTCTGTCACCGTTTTTAACAATACAAAGATAAAACTCACTTTACTTACAGGCTTTTACAGACACACTTGCATAAACAAAAAAACATGCATTAAAAAAAAAAAAAGGACAAACGGAGGTGCAACCAGCAGAAGCCAAGCGACCTATTCCTGGGGAACACTTTGAATTTCAGGCTGCTAGGGCCGGACGGTGCACACCAACGCACCGGCTGGGAACAACTGTTGGGCGCTCGGGCCACGCGTCCTACTGCTCCCAGCATAAATCCAGGGGCTGAAAACTCCCAAACCCTCAGTCACGCTGCCTTTAAACCAAGATCGGCTCTTTCAAGGAGATGCACCAGAGTCTGAAGTTAGAGATGCAGAGGAAGAGTACCTGGCTGTGTTATAATGTGAGGATGGTGAGGATGAGCCCACCTTCTAAAGCGCTTTCCCTTAAAAATCACTGAATCAGTTAACACCGTGTGATGCTCAGTTTTTAAAATGAGGGCACGGCACAGTGGAGAGGGGGCCTGCCCCGTACAGGATTTAGGGACCCAGGAGAAACGGTCTCATGCTCAGCTTTTGCTGAAAAGCCCCAGCATTTCAGGAAAGGACCGTTTCAAACGCAGTCCCCCCCAGGCAGGCACACACCCCAGCAGGCCAGCCCCAGCGCTGGCTCGGCAGGCTTCTGGGAGCATTGCCCTGGCACCCTGCGCTTCTGCTGAAACCCAATAACTGACTGGGGCTGGGCCAGGCTTTCAGCTCCCAGGAGGAATAGAGCCTTTCTCCCATCCACAACGCTCTCGCCACCACAAAACCTCACGTCTCACCTCCATGCTGGTGGTCTGAAACAGCCCAAAACAGCTGCTTGGGAGGGATGGAGCCAGATAGCTCTGGCATGGCCTTACCGAAAGATGCCCATGGCGAGAAAGGATGGAGCAGGTATGCTGTTGTTAGTTCAGGACCGTGTTTGGGTACCTTGGGCTCTCGGAATGGGCAGGCGGAGCCGAGCTGGCCCCCCCTTTGGGTGGCAGGAAGCTGCACAACCAGCTCCCATACGTCTCAGCTCCTGTTAACCCACGGGAGACCTTGCTGAACTCCCACAGGCAGCAGAAGATGCACAAACAGCAGCGAGGTGCTCAACTCCAGGTGCCAGAGCACGGACAGCACCCGCTCTTCTCCCCACCACTGATCGGCCCAGCTCAGCGCTTGCTTCGGGAAGCGACATTCGCTGCTATGTTTGCTGGAGCCGGGGAGGGAGAGCCCTGACAAAACACGCTCAGACATCTGCCAGGCAGGATGCAAACACAGGGTTTTCCTGGCCATCCAGGGCACGAGTCCAACAGAAGGAACTGGCCCAGCTGATTCCAGCTCCACGTACACCCACAGACCCTTCCTCACCTTTGCTGGAGGCAAGGGGGAAGCCCAAACAGCCCCATTTGCTGGACAACCACAATTCCCATTCCAGAACCATTTCAAATCACTTCTGCCCTGAAGAGTGTTGCATGAGGGTGCAGAAGGCTCAGGGCATACGGGCAAACACGCCACGGAAAAACCATTTGTAGTTTCCCCTTTATATTTCTACGCTTTCAGAGAAAGAAGTGGAGGTCACAATGCTTCCTTGTGCTTGTTGGGACCCTTAGCTGTGCAGGCCCTGTCCAGCTGAAACATGTCTCAAATCCTACCCTGTGATGCTGTCAGATATCAGCTGCCTGTTGCGGTTCCTGCTGGGACAACTTTGACTGTTGTTATAAGGAGAGCAGCTATAGGAGACTTCAGACTTAGTAAGGAGTAAGATACCTGCAAAAAAAAAAATATCACACCAGGGAAGTTCAAGGCACACCTAGTCCAGGCAAGCATGCTACTAATCTTCCAGCATGACTAGCTTTTCCTTTACTGCAGTTCAGAGGCAAGCCTAGGAAACAAAGGCTAGGACTACCAGCCCCAGCAGACAGTTCTCTGTCGTTGATTAGAGGATGTGCATAATGAAGCAGAGGATGTTGGGCCCTGTAGTCTGTGGGTCTCACCTGTTTTGGGATCAGGCAGGTGGTAGCACACTGCAGGACCAGGCTGAGGTCTGCATTTTGACCTGCTCCCTTACTCCAGACACTCACTTTTAGTTGGCAGGTTTGGAGAAAAGCAGCTCTCTTGCCTTCGCTGGGTACAAAACTTCACAAGGTGAAAAAGGTTTGGCATGCTAACTGCTGGCAAGAAGAGGCTATGCCCAAAGTAGTCTCTTTGTAACTTCTATTTGGCTCCCAGGCTGGAAGCCTGAGTGGTATTTGAGGGCTCCTAGTTAAGCTACACAACTGGGGTTACTGCACTCGGCTGAAACTCAGGCATGTCCCATTTGAGCATGAACCTCTCACCTCAGGAGACCCTGGGCTGGAACGCACCTCCAGCCACAGACACGATGATCGGCTGCAGCCCCATTTCAAGCAGACACCTCTCACGGTGAAAAGCAGCACAGGCCAGCCGACAGCACTTCTCCAAGGACACCAACAGCCTGAAAAACTAGCTAGCAGCAAGGTACAGCATGAATGCACGGTGCAGGTAGATAACCAACCCACCGGGAAAACCCCTCTTCTGCCGTCACCTCACGGAGACCCTGGTGCCTGGGTACGTGCTCAGATTTCCTTTATCCCAGTGGAACGTCAGATGGTGTTAGCTGGCTCGTTCCTAGGCACTCTGCTACAGCTACTGCCAGGACTGGAAAGGCAGGGTGACACACAGACCTTTTACATGTTTAAGTAAAACTATGGCATGGCTGAATAAGCATCCTTGGGAGCCTCCCCAAGACCAAGTCCCTGCAGCCGCACAACTGAGTACTAAGGCAGCGCAAGCTCAGCCTGACAGCTCCCTTTAAGATTTCCTTCTGCAACGGACACGGTCACTGCCCTGCTAGACTGCATGCCACATCAGGCATTTGTCTGTCTTTCTGGAAGCGGCACCAAGCCAGCACA